TCTATCTATCTATCTATCTATCTATCTATCTATCTATCTATCTATCTATCTATCTATCTATCTATCTATCTATCTATCTATCTCCGTGTATCCACAGAGCCGTGATGTTCTCCAGCCACCTATGGAGCAGAGCATTAGCCCGCAGGGTCAAGTGTACCATCCTCTTCGCCTCAGAGACGGGAAGATCAGAGAGCTTTGCCGACAATCTCTTAGACATGATCAAGCCTTACTTCAACGCCAAGGTGAGCCTTTTTCATTCATTGAATGAATTACTTGACTCCTAATTTATTTATTCATTTATTTACTTTTTTCTAAACTTCGCATGCATTTGCTCCCTTTTCAAGAAACTGTAGTTTGTTTAAAAAGCAGAGTTCCAGATTATTTCTTGATCTCGTCAGCACCGAGCGAGAAATGTACAAATAGCATCTTCTTTTTTTTAAAAAGAGGTGATGTACATTACATAATATATTTGGTGTCATATCATGACCTAGGCTGTGTGAGCGAATGGCGAAATGGATATTTTATATGTGTTTAGTGTATTCTAGACAGTCGGGGTTGCACTGTTCAGGTCGATTAAAACCCCGTTTCTACATGGCCCAGCTTGTGTTGGAACGGGTGTAAAATGTTCACAGTCAATCAACACTCTCGGGGAGGACGAGCCGTCAAAGCTGTCTGACCTACAATTTTGTCGTGCATAAAATACTATGTTGTGTGTAAGGTTTGAACTGAGCCTAATAAGTTTGAACGTCATTTTCAAGTTCTGTCACAAATGATAATAATTACAATAACCAGTCTACTAGAGCTGGGCGGCTAGGTTCCCGATAATTGAAAGCTAGGAATTGTAGGAATCGACTCCGAACCCAAAACTTACTTTCTAATGATGTGATTTTTTCCGGTGGTTACCTGATTGGCTCCGAACATCATGATTTAGGATAACCTTGATTTTGGGACACTACTAAGCATCAACTTTTATTTTTTTAAAAGAAATTCTTAAAAGAAAAGATTCTGGTAACCGTTGGTTTTCGTAAAAAGGAGTCGGAACTTTTCTTCAGTAGCATTAATCGTGGGGATCGGTTCCGGAATCGACTCTTCGCCCAGCTCTACAGTCTACTGTGGCAGGGATAATAAGCCATCAAAACTAACATGTTTCCCCAACGCTCTTCCCCTCTTTCTCTCAGGTGGTGTGCATGAAGGACTACAAGGTCAGTGACCTGTGTAACGAGTCCCTTCTCCTGGTGGTGACAAGCACATTCGGCAACGGAGACCCGCCGGTCAACGGAGAGGTAGGCACCCGCTCTCTGCCTGAGGCTTTATGTCTGTGTCAGTCATGTGCCAATTATGCCTCTGTCATGTCGTCTCTGTATCATTCCCAGTTCCGCAAAGGACACCATCTATATCTATCTATCTACCTATCTATCTATCTATCTATCTATCTATCTATCTATCTATCTATCTATCTATCTAAGATAGATAGATATACGTGATCTCTTGTTATGGTGTATGCACCATTACTGGATATTGTTTACCTTCTCAATTAATTAATCCAGATCACCTTGTGAACTACAACATGGGAACTAACAATTTGTCTAGACCTAATCCAATTTTTTTTATTAGTTGTTTTTTTTCTTGATATCTAAACTAAAACGTGTATATTTTTTACACAAAAAAGGTATAAAATGTAAACCAATAGAGCTACATGAATATAAGTTCAGCACAAGGATGTAATACATTTGTTTAATCGACGAGACATACTGACGTTAAGAGAGAGAAAACAAAGCATTGGCCAGAGTAGTCTTATAGATAATAACTCTTATACGTAACAATGATACAATGTTCATGGTCCTTATATATGTCAACGTCCACGATGTAGTCAAGCTTCAGCTGAAAAGTATTGAAATAAAAAACTGGACAAAATCTAAGTTCTTTTACTAAAAGCTGAAAAGGTATATCTTTTCCCTAAAATCCCCTTGATCTTTTAAAAAGAAGTCTGTGTTGGAATTGAAACCCTGTTGTTGATCTAGTTACCAATGGACAGGAAAGCGGTAGACCTTAAGTTCTTCCCTACCTTAAAAGTAAAATAACGCGGTAGTCCATTAATTTTTAAAAGTCAAATATCCCAGCAGGTTGTCCTATATTTATTATTCTACAACTCAATACTTACAATATTAAAATATGATTAAATCTTGTGCCAATAAACTTTTCAGGTAATTGCATCTTTGTGTGATAAAACGCTTCTGTTGTTGATTTTGTTTTAAGGTACGTGATCTTACGCCCGTTCGACACTATCAATTGTTAGCAATGACAGACTTTTCGTATGTGCAGAACTTAGAAATTTTTAAAAAGTGTAACACTACCAGTCATTTTCTGAAACTGTAACGTGTTTCTCTATCTTTTGTTCCCAGACGTTCGACAAGGATCTGAAAGAAATGATAAAGAACAGCGCGCCCTTGATAGAAAGCGGGTAGGTCAAATAACCATCTTTGAGACGTCGCGAACGTGTTGCAACTACATCGCATTTCGTCCGCTAGATGTTCAAATGATTTACTAAGCCCATAAAACAACACTTTTCAGGAGAGAGAAAAACCTTTTTATTCCTTCTAACAAATTGTACTCATGTTATTTAATATCATTATTATAACTTTGACACCCCCCCCCCCTAAAAAATTATGTTTTTACAAATTTTAAAAATATCCATCTTCTCACGGGGAATAAAACGAAGTAATGTAAACAACAAAAACGCAGGAGGTTTGATGAAAAAAAACCTCTGGTAGTGGAATGGGTTTCTTTTCTGTTCTGTAAGACGCAGCGTAGTTTGAAAGAAAATCAACGTGATGTCTCTCACCAACATGGAATCCCAAGGGAACGACATATAAATAGGACGTAGTTGTTTGGGTTTTTTTATAATTGGTCGCTTTTAAGCCTAAAGGGGCTATCCCGAAAAATGCTGTTTTGATAAAATCGAAGGTAACGTTTTTGCCCTTTGTTCAGTTTCTTTAAAGACAAGAAGAATTTTCTCTATAACCAAACAAATATACACACCAATGAAACCAAACTTTTCCTATAGGTAGGGCAATGTCCACTTTTGGTGTAGGTCACGATTTCTGGAAACCCCCGAAATCTGGGTTAGCCTTAAAAGCGACCAAATGGAGTAGAGCTTGTGGTATTGTGTGTGTCTTGTCTCACAGTTTGTCAATCTCTCCCTGCAGGCAATCTGGAAAAAACAAGTCTGTGAAGAAGAGTCAGGTCTCTCCTATGAACGGGAAGGGAACAGACGCCAACAACAACAACGACATCAACAACAACAATAATAACAACAGGAACAACAAGAACAACAACACAAATGGTCTTGGTAACATGAAGTGAGTCTACAGAGAATAGTTTTGTAAGGATGAAAAGAAAAGTTCTCCTTTCACTTTCCTTCCTGTTCTCTACCCATGTTCTGTCGTCTGCTTTCGTCTCCACGATTTGCCCCCCCCCCCCCATTCTCTTCTTTGCTCCCTCCTCTGGGCTCCTGCTCATTGGCTCCTTCTTACTCCCATCGGATATGTGAGGGGTGCTGACAAACCGAGTTACTTCTCGCGATCCAAGAATGGAGATATCGGGCCGAAAATCAACTTTGGGGTCAGATTTGGGGTCAGATTTATAGACCTTCAGTTGATGCCATTTTGTTCAAGTCTACCGTGTCTTTTATTATTCCATACTTACAAATTGTACAAACTCCACCTATAAAGTTGATGTATCAATTTCCATACGGCTACAATCCTAAAGAAGTAACTCATTTTGTCAGCACCCCTCACATATGTAATATCTATCACCTTGCCTTCTTGAATAAGGGCGAAAAAATATTGGAGGTCCGTGTACAAGTTGCCAACATTCAAGTTCCCTCGGTGGTAGAGCTGGGCGAAGAGTCGATTCCCGAATCGATTCCCTTGGTGGTCTAAAATCGATAAGAGTAGGCTTCGGCCGCCACCCGGGCAAAATTCAAAATGTCCTACAACTGAAAATATTAGGTGTGTCCCGCGCGCTCATATGACCTTATGCAGTTGCGAGCGCCGTAAAACACCTTACAAAAACAAACAAACAAACTCATCACAATGGTATTTCTCTCCAGATACTCCGTGTTCGCCCTGGGCTCCAAAGCCTACCCCCACTTCGCCGAGATAGTCAATGAGCTTGGCTTTCAGTAAGCAAGAGGAATATTTTTTAAAACGTGAACCAATCGTATTTCTTCAGATACTCCGTGTTTGCCCTGGGCTCCAAAGCCTACCCCCACTTCGCCGAGATAGTCAATGAGCTTGGCTTTCAGTAAGCAATAGGAATATTTTTTAAAACGTGAACCAATCGTATTTCTTCAGATACTCCGTGTTTGCCCTGGGCTCCAAAGCCTACCCCCACTTCGCGGAGTTTGGCAAGACTGTGGACAGATGTCTGTCTGACCTCGGGGCCACGAGAGTTCACAAGGTCGGAGAGGGAGATGAGTTGCATGGTCAGGAGCACAGTTTTGACACCTGGGCCGGCGCTGTGGTAGAGGTAGGGACGTGTTGGGAAAAGGAAGATTCATCAATCGTTTTGTTTTTGTTGTTTGTTTGGTTGTTTGTTGTTGTTTGTGGGGGTTTTTTGTTGGAGGGGGGGTGGAGGGTTTTTATTGTTGTTGTTGTTGTTGTTGGTAGTGGTGGTGATTCTTGCATTTGCTATTTAATCTTATTGAAGACACGCATTCTGGTCTTGTGACAACGCTTGAAGGCGCTTGTGTGTGTGTGTGTGTGTGTGTGTGTGTGTGTGTGTGTGTGTGTGTGTGTGAGTGTATGTGTGTGTATGTGTGTGTGTGTGAGTGTGTGTGTGTGTGTGTGTGTGTGTGTGTGTGTGTGTGTGTGTGTGTGTGTGTGAAAGGGGGGGGGGCTTAAGAAATAGAAAAATAATTTTGTTGTTAATTCAGATTGCTCAGTCCTGTGTTCTTTATTCGGATCTTTAAAAAGGCAGGCAGCCACATGCTGCCCTAGAATTATAACGCTCTGTCAGTTCAGGACCTAGTTTTGAGAAATTTGACTGTAAAAATGTTGAGCTTCACAATATTATGTCAAGCTGTTTTTGATTCAATTTTTTTTAAAGATATCTTGATAACGACACCGTATAATCTTACGATTTTGATAGAGCAGAAAGAACATTTAGTTTGGGACCTCGTGGAGCGAGAAAGTGGTGAACAAACAGAATGTATAATGTGTGAGGCAGCGTGGTGAAATCAGGCGCTCGTCAAAATAATGAAAGTCAAGAAACTGGCATTTCTCTGGGGTTCTGGAATTTTCATCGAATTTTGTTTTTGGCTCAACACCTTATAAGCCCTTTGAAGAACACATTTCTGTGGTTGATTAAAGGCATAAAAGATGTAAATTTTCAGTTTCCATGGACTCTCCAGCTAAGGAAATAACACAACTTTGGGGGGACCATTAATTTTTTCCTAATTTTTACAACGGAAACCAGGCGCCCCCCCCCCCCCCCCCCCAAACTCCTTTAATCTCAAAGATCTTGAATTGTATCCAGGATAAATTGATTTTTTAAAATCAAAAGCAACGCAAATGGATAGACTTTAAGATTACACCAATAACTCCATTTGCCCCAAAATTGACGAGGGCCTGATTCCACTGCGTCGTGACACATAATATAATAAACGTCCAATCGCTGGTTCCCCCAGGCGGCGTGCAAGAGCTACAACATCGTCCCAGACAAAGAGTCCAAGTACAAGAAGGAGACGTCGAGGAAGGCAGTCCAGGCGTGGACACCAGAGACCTACAGGCTCGTCCCTCAGTCACAGACGAGCAATCCGGACCTTTGCACCGGTCAGTGAACTGGACGCTTTTTAGTTTACTCACCATAGAGAAAATTTGGGCCTTCCCTGCTCTCTAACCATGTTTTGTCGTCTGCTTTCGTCTCCGCGTTCTGCCCCTCCCCCCCCCTCTATTAATTTACTCACCTCAAAGCAAACTTGACCCTGGTATTTTAATGTCCTCAAAGGCAAACTTTGTCCTTGTATTTTATTTTCCCCTGACCAAACTGTGCTCTCCTTCTCTCCTTCTCTCCTTCTCTCCTTCTCTCCTTCTCTCCTTCTCTCCTTCTCTCCTTCTCTCCTTCTCTCCTTTCCCGCCTTTTCTAAACTAGGATAGCTTCTCCCAAAGCAAACTTTGCCCTTGTATTTTATTCACCCCGATGCAAACAGTGCTCTCGTGCTTTATTAACAGAACGCTTTTACTATAGATTCTGTCCTTTGCAACATCACCTTAATACTTCATTTTGTCCAAAATCGTTCTTCGTTTTGCTTTCAGTTTTAATTATTCAAAGTCGACATGAAATTGGCCCTATAACTCAAAGCCTCCATTTATATTTTATTTTTATTTTTTCCAGCGCTGTCAAGTATCCACAACAGGAAGGTTGTGTCGTGTGGATTGAAAGAAAGGACTCAGCTACAGAGCCAAGACTCAGAGTGAGTGGTAGTTCTTCTTCTTATGTGAACATCAGAAAAACACACATACAAATGCCGAGATTAAATAACATTCGAAACACTCCTTCTATCTACAATCAATATCATACAAACGATGCAGATCTACTCATGGTATTATTTGCTTGCAACTATCATCAAACTGCAGATCTTGCCAAAAAAGAAAATATGTCCCGAGCCGTGCTTGCAAAATGTCTAGGTTGGACTTTACGTGGATTGTAGCAAAACATTTATTGTTGAATAATTCACAGTACAGAAAACCCTTACGTCGACAGCGCCATCTAAGACACTTCACGTCGCTGGACTCTGTCGTTGTCTCGTTGCCGACGTTGACTGTACCAGGACAATATCGAAGATAACG